AGCACAATGCACCCCTCCCGCTCCCCCTGGGAGGAGGGCCCAGCCTCGCTCCGAATGGTGATACACACTCAGTAAGTCCACGATACAAGGACCACACCTCTTTCACTGTAAGCTAGGGGGTTCACCTCAAGGTGCGCTTGATGTTACCAGTGCTACTTAAGTTTACTTGCTACTTAAGGCGAGGGGAAGTCATCTAATTTCTACATGGTTAGCTGAACAGGTTTATGCTTTGTTTTACATGATTCCATACATTCAGTAGCTTCCCCAATAGAGCCAATTTTGCTAAATGATCCAATATGTCCTTGTAAGCATGTTGTCTAAAGATTGCTTTGTCATCCATGGGTAGTTATACTGGGCTTGTCCAAACAGTTGTTGTGTAGTGTACTTTGAGAGTGTTCTGAGGAATAACCCCAATGATTTCCTCAGGGTCATGTCAGCTACAGCTTGGAGACTTCAACATAAACCCTGTATTACAAACTGGGCGAAGTTAGAAAAGACATGGCAGGAAGGGTCTAATGAAAGATGCTATTGTGTTGCATTATGGGAAGTGTAGTATCCAATGTTTTTTGAATGTTACTCAACCTTCGACCAAAGGTTTGGCTATTTTAGCTTCTGCTGAATCTATTTTTTAAAATCTTTTCTTCCAAACTCCCCACTTTATAAGTGAAACACACATTTCTAGAGTAGCCATTATTATTCATCTCATTGCAAAATGTCTGCCCAGGGCAGCACCCTTGTGTTGCTTCTGCTTCAAGACGTCTGTTTTAAAGCAAGATGACATTCCTCTGCTGGAGTGATGGGTCCCAATCCACATAGGAAAGAAACACCTCCTATACCTATAGTCATCCTGTCAAGGTGTCGGAAAGTACAAATATAGTACAATATATTGATTCCAAATGCTTCAGTGCGATTTTATTCATCTTACATAACCTATATAAGGTATGTAAAATGTATTGTCTTTATGTATTGATATGTATATATTAACAGCATATTACAGAGACAAATTAGTCAGAGTTTGTCACTTGATATCGTGAAAGTGTTGAGTAGTAGTTGCCCTGCCAAACCTGAGGGTTACATTCTCGCAGTTGTGTTGATCCATCCCTTCACTCGAGCAAAACACACAAATACCTTGCCTGTCAAATATTAGTTTAGCATTTAGAAATGTAATTGTATTTCCACTATATCTTATATTGTGTTACTCCCTTAAGGTTTGGCCCGCACTTGTGTTGCTTCTCTTCCCTTCTACTGTGGCTGCAGAAGAGTCATCACTACTGGAAGGCTGGCACGATGTCTGGCTCTTCCGCTTCCTCGTCAACATTGCTGGGATACTCCACCATCATCATCCCTGGCTACCTCCTCATTAGCTACTTCAAGCGCACCAATTACTTGGAAACAGGTTTGGGCTCATGAGAAAAACACACACATCTAATTTGGAATGTATACCACTTAAAGAACAACACATTAGTAGTTATAGTGTCTTCCTGACCACCTTGATATCAGGTTCATTATTTCTCTGTTTCCTTACTTTCAGGTAGTGGGATCTGCTACCCTGTCATAAAGAACCTGCGTGTTTGGCAATGAGGCCAAAACAGGTTCTTTGGATGATGTTGTCAGTTGCACCCAGGAACGAGGGAGATTCAGGCTCGTCAATCAGACAGGCCATCAAGTTAATCTTTTGTGCTGCTGGACTTCAGGTGGGGTTTCCTCCCAAGAAATACAGCCGTTGAATACATAAAGCTGCATGTGGCCTAATCCCTATAATACCACCAATAATTGAGTTTTTTGTGCTGTGCAGCTGCTGGGAGGGTTGTTTTATGTTTGGTTAATTTAAGTGTGATTATAGCCACAGCCTGGTCTGCTCTCAGCTCACTGGCTATTTTAAATATGATGCTTCATTGATGTTTATTTGAAGGAAAGTGCGAGTTAAGAAAACGTCGCCATCTATGAAATCAAGCTCTACATTAAAGGATAAAGCTGCACTAATCAATATTTTAATTTTAATATTAACAATGGACCAAACATTTATATGTTATGTGAAAGGATGTCACTAGTAGTAACAAACCCAAATTATTACCTACTCTGCAGTTCCCCTCAGCTCTACCTAACCTACCTGTACCTCAAACAGCAGACAGGCTGGCTGATACACACAGTGTTGCATTTAAGAGCTAAAGAGCCAGGTGTTTCCTCAGAAGTTGGTGGAGACCAAAACGGAGCGCGGAGAGGTAATATTCAACTAAAATTTGGCAGGTGGCCAGAAACATGACTCCAAATTAAAAAACAGACCATCTTCTGATGGGATCAGACTAGCTGCGACGTCCGTCACATGTTTATGTTCTGACCCATGAGTATTCAGTAGTTATTACTACATTACATGACTACTTAGTATTCATTGGTTGGACCACACACTTCTTTAAACTTGGCCTTATTTTTGATCTCAACTACACACCTGTAAAATGTCATGACTTTATCTTGCATAGTTCAACCCTAACCTCATCATGGTGACAAGATTTGTCCACAGACAAAGCTGTGGTAGTCCCCGCTACAGTAAGGTGTCTCCAGGACCACATTTTTCTATGATGACACACACACACAATAGACTCATAAGGGAAAAAACAATACCAGCCCCCTGGCTTGTGGCTGGTAATAAAGGCACTCAATGTCTGCTGGAGGTGTAAATAGGAAACTGCTGGTCAGTGTAATGTTTACGTCCCCTGCCCAAAAGTGACTGAAAAGATGAGTTATGCTGCTTTACTACAGTATTAACATGCCATATGTATGTTGACAGAGTTAGAGGTTGCTGATACCCATCCTAGTGTGACTACACTGTAAAAAAAAAAAAAAAAAAAAAAAAAAAAAAAAAAAAGGGGAACAAAATCCACTGTTAAAGCCATAACCAAAGTTAGTCTTTTTAGTTCAAAATTCCCTCTTTGTGTTTCTGCCCACACTTAACGTAGATAGTGACATTCAGCCAAAAGAAAGCCGAACCGCACAATGCAACAGTTTTTATCAGTGTATGTGAGAAAGTCTAAGCTCAAAGGTCAAGAGTGAACCTCAGTGCTCAAATTTTTAACATCATTTCTACTGCTAAAAAATATCTAACATGATCACTGTCCTTGACAAGCTTAAATCAATATTTTTATTCTTAGGCATCGTACCTGACATGGGGTGTCCTGCAGGAGAGGGTGATGACTCGTTCCTATGGGGCCACGACTCCAGAGGACCAGGGAGAGAAATTCAAGGACTCCCAGTTCTTGGTCTTCATGAACCGTATCCTGGCTCTGACCGTGTCGGGCCTCTGGTGCGTCCTGTTTAAGCAACCTCGCCACGGAGCACCGATGTACAAGTACTCCTTTGCCTCACTCTCCAACATCCTGAGCAGCTGGTGCCAGTACGAGGCCCTCAAATACATCAGCTTCCCCACGCAAGTCTTGGCCAAGGCCTCTAAAGTCATTCCTGTCATGCTTATGGGCAAGATCGTCTCCCGTAAGAGCTATGAATATTGGGAGTACTTCACCGCCGTGCTGATCTCAGTGGGTGTCAGCATGTTCCTGCTGTCCAGCACGACCAGCAAGCACCCGTCCACCGTCACCACCTTCAGCGGGATCATCATCCTGGTTGGCTACATCGTCTTCGACAGCTTCACCTCCAACTGGCAGGACAACCTGTTCAAGTACAAGATGTCATCAGTGCAGATGATGTTTGGAGTCAACCTGTTCTCCTGCCTCTTCACCGTCGGCTCGCTGCTGGAGCAGGGCGCCTTCTTCGACTCGCTGGCCTTCATGACGCGTCACTCTGAGTTTGCCTTTCATGCCGTGTTGCTGTCCGTGTGTTCAGCATGTGGCCAGCTCTTCATCTTCTACACCATCAACCAGTTCGGTGCTGCCGTCTTCACCATCATCATGACCCTGAGGCAGGCCATCGCCATTCTCCTCTCCTGTTTCCTTTACGGCCACGCTGTCACCATTGTAGGTGGATTTGGTGTTGCCGTCGTTTTCCTGGCACTTTTCCTGCGGGTGTATGCACGTAGCCGCATGAAGTCAGGCCGACGGTCAGCGCAGCCAATTGCACAGAAGGTGTAGCACTCCAAAGTCACACTAAACTGGGAACTGAGACCACGTTTTCTGTGGTGCTTTTTGTCTATTTGTGTCTATCTGTTAGGTCTGTTTTTGTTTTTTTTACTGTTCTGTTCTTTTCCATTGGTTTTTATTTTTGTTAGCAATGGTACAGAAAGGGATTCTGCAGTTTTGACTCTTACACCAAGATGCCCCCAAGGGGTCCATGTGATTTGAGTGCCTGTAAGATTGTCTAATACACAAGTCCCAAACTGCAATCTACAAACTGCCTCTTCAGCTATTTCACAGTTTAATGGTAGAATAGTTTTTCTTAGACCACAATATGTGGCTTGTGCAGCCAGTGGAGGGTTCCCGTGATCCAGGGAAAGGCTTGTTAGCTGTATGGTGAAGCATTAAAATTTTGACATGAATTTTATGACAACGCCCCTTCTAAACTTTATCTTAAACATTGCAACCAAACACTCTGCTTTCATAAAGACAATGCTTTCTGTCCATTAGGTTATCTTTCAGTCACAATAGCCAGACACTGATCTCACAGTCCTCCATGTTGGAGAGCAGGGGCCTTTGTGTCTTCATGTTGGATTTTATCTTGTAAAGTGGTAAACATTGCCTGAATACACGGTGCATACATTACTGTTTAATTTAAGGTATATTAACATGTTCCAGAGGCTGCCATCTGTAATAGAGAGTGATAAACAACAGTTTGTGTAATAAGAGTGCACTACTTACAAATTGTATAGTTTTGCTCTGACGTCACTGAATCAGATGCTGCTGTTGGTACTTTTTGCTCTGCATTATTTTAAGATAATTCTTTTGTTGTCTTCACAACACAGATTCTACTCAATGTTTTTAAAAATGGGCAAAAAAATCATGTAAATATATCTGAAAGTCATTGTTTATTTCCAACCAACTTGTCTGTTGTGTACTTTTGTAAAAGGACTGCTTCACGTGTTTCACCGTTCCATGTGAATGTCTGGAGGAATACTGAATGGATGTTGATGATGCTCATTGCTGTCACGAGGATGTGAAGATAAAATGCATAAGAGAATGCATACAAGGGAAATGCAATGTTACTGGTTCCTTGTTTTTATCATTCTACTATTTCTGGATTATTAATAAAACATATTAAATTAACTTAAAGCTGTGAAGTGCAGAGGTTTGATTTTACTGTTTGCCATTGTGCCAAAGGATTTGCTGTGTGGTCAGTGCTGTTTCGCAGGTAAATACATGTGAATCATTCTCAATGATTATTTGTTCACGAAATGCAGCTCAAAGTGCTTCACATTAAGAAGAATGACTGAAATCAAAAGAAAAGAGACATTTGAAACAACTTTCTTTTTCTTTTTCTTTTTTTTATACAGGTCTGGATCCAAATCTACAGATGGCAGATTCATCACAGGTCTTTTGTCTTTGTTTTCAGTTTAGTGAGCAGCAGAGTCGGTGGCTGTAAGGGCTCTACCAGATACACACGTTTCCTGCATATGAGCCAAATAGTTGGGACAAGACCATGAATACTTTTATAGACAAGTACAAGACTCTCATCTTTATGTAACTGGAGGCCAGTTCAAACAGTTTTGCTTAGGAGTGATGTTCTGTGTTCCTCTTGCAGGGGTGTTCTGTATGAGCTGTATATACTGTTTTTTTGAGGAGACCAGTGAACAATGAACTGCAGTACTCCAGCCTACTTGTAATAAAAGCATGACATAAGCTTCTCTGCATGTCTGACCTTGGCAATACGGTTTAAATAATTGACAGTTACAGTAGGTATGTTCCTTATATGTGGCTGGAAAGTTAAATCTCTAGGTGTGGGTTCCATCTTTGCTATGGCCCAATAACTAGGATCTTGATTAGAGGTTGGTTTGGGGTTATTCACAAGTAATTTAAGGGAATAAAGAGGCTCAGGTAAACAGGGCCAACGCCTAAAAAGAGTTGGTTGGGTGTGATCTGCAAGTATGTTTTAAAGTACATGATGTGCCTTCATAAAAAAAACTGAGCATGAGCACTGATCTTATAACAGCACATTGTTTTGTTCCTGTGTTACAGGTTTACATGCAGTTACCCTGTGGCTTGAGGAGGATGCCTTTACCATGACTGCAGGTTTTTGGTTCAAATCACACACTTAATTTTCTCTCTGCCATCTCTCCATAGTCCTTCTACTCTCCAGTCTCATGAAGACAGCATACTTTAATCGAAACATCTGAGGTGCTGTTGCCGCTCCGATTCGTAAACCAGACCACTATTATGATTCACTTAACATCAAAATGAAGATTGGGTTTGACTGTGAACTGTAAGAAAACATTTCCCCCTCGTTTATCAATGTCACAGCTGCTCGATGGGGGACTTTCCCTGCACCTCTCATTTCACAACATCCTACACCCCATCTGGTTTGGAGTAGTGCGTCACAATGTCAGCGCCACCAATCCAATTTTTAAAATGCAAATGGCAAACGAAAAGTGAGAGGGGTAAAAGAGACGTGCAGATGTCCACTTTCAGCCCCCAGTCGGACCAGTCACTTTGGGCTCTCGCTCTGACTGCAGGGATGACACAAGCTGAGTGTTTTTGTTGGAACTTTTATTAGCTAGCATGAACATTTGACTGTTTCAGCAATGCCTGCAATCACTTGGGAGCTTCCCGAAACTGTCTTTGTTTTCCGCCCATACCTCATTGAGCAAATTAATACCACTCTTATATCTGTATGCTAAATATGAAACTACCGCTGGCTAACTTAGCTTAGCATAAAGACTGGAAATGGACTTCCCTCGAGAGTTAACAAAATGTGCCTACCAGCACTTCTAAAGCTCACTAATGAACACTAGTATAATTTGATAACCCATACAAAACTGTGAGAATGACAGTTTGTCGTTGTACAAGAACTTATCTGCCACACTATTACAGTCTCCACTGCTTGCCTGCCAACAGCTTCCTGCCAAGAAATAGTCCCACCCTGTAAAACAAAAGAAATGTTATTACATGGCACTATTTGTACAGATACAACAAAAAAATAAATAATGTTTTAATTAGTGAGCTGTGGAAGCACTGGTAGATGGATTTTGTTATCTAAGTTTGAACAGAAACAAATATAGAAACAATTAGCCTAGCTATGTTCAAAGGTAAAAATCCCCCCTTATCAGCAGCTTTAAATCTTTAGTCGTGTTGTATATCTTGTTTCTTTTGTCAGTACAAAAACAAATGCGCAAAAAAAAATCGCAAACTGTATTTTATAGGGGTTATGTGTTGGACTACTTCCTTCCCAGGACCAGTAACTTCCTGGACCGTCTGGATCGTATCTATATACTGTATACACATGGCTACACATACCAGATCTTATTGTTGCACACAAACAGGTTATAATAGGATATCAAACAAGTGTCTTATATTATATACCTATCACCTTATTTTTTTAATCTTTTACATCTATTAATTGTACTACACATTTCTAATTGATTCTCAACATTGCTCCATACATTCACTCCCTTTGTTGAAATGCATTCATTTTTTTTTATATTTATCCTCGCCCATAATTTGTTAAATATTCCTTTTAAGTTCATATCTGCTGTCTCAAATGATCATTTTTATAATTCAGTTTCACAAATGAGATTAAATGTGTGAATTTGTGAGCTTTACAGGTGCTAGCAAGTGGATGTTGTTAGTTTTGGACAGAACCAGGCTAGCTGTTTCCCCCCTTATTTCCAGTCTTTATGTTAAGCTAAATTAGCTGGAGGTAGCTACAGACATGGGACTGGTGTCAAACTCTTGGCAAGAAACCAAATAAGTGCATTTCCCAGAATGTCAAAACTTTCTTTTAAATTGTTTATTGGGATGTGCACAAGCAGCAGCATGACCACAAGGCAGCCTTACTAACCTTTAGTCCACCACCACGCACTCCTTTACTGCACATGTGGAACATAAATACAGTGAGGTAGACCATGTGTGACTCTCTACTCTCTTACACCTTGTCATAAAGGTTATCGTTTTTGTGGGTTGCTGTTTTTTATTCTTCAAGATAGAGGTTTTTATTTGTCTTGGGTAGGCCTTTTATCTATACGTTTTGCTTCCTTCCTACTCAGTGTGGGTGTTAATCCTGTTCCTGTCTCTAGTATTTACAAAGTGCTGTCAAATATGAGAAGTGACACTATGCCTGATGTGTGTGTACCAAAACTGTCCCAGATCATGAGTAGTGATTTCCTTTTTTCCTGGCATTTAAAATTGAAAATGTCATTGAAACTAAATTACACAACAATATGTTTGCACACAGGCCTGCAGGATGGTGTGGTTGCATATATTGTAATTCTATGGTTAAACCTTTTTATCTCATGTTATCTACAGATCTTGTTATTCACTGATACAAAAACCACCCCCTTATCTGTTGGGATCCGTTACACTAAGGTATCTATTGACTGACGTGAATAGAACTGAAATGAAATATGCAGAGGCACATGTATAGACAAACATATAAACTAAACTCTCAAGTTGGTCCAGAATAATTTGGATCAAATCAAAGAAAACGGTCAAGTCTGTTTCACTGAACAAGAACTACATCTAAGTAGGTCATGCAGCCTACCAATCCACACATTTTAAGCCGATTTTTTGGCATTTCTTCACTGGCAGCATGCACTGAAGGGAGACACACATTAAACGAGGAAGAAGAGACGACAGGCTGGAAAGGTCACAAGACGCATTAAAAACTGTGACACTGTTACACATCACAGCCCACTGTATCCCCAGGAACCCCCCCCCCCCTCCTCCTCCCCCAATTAATGCACTCAGCATCTGTGGGTTGAAAGCAGATTTACACAAGAGGCTCAAATGTTTCCACAGGAAGTCTTTTGTTAAAAGAAAGGCAAGTCAGATCAGATGTATCTTTCAACTTCATGAGGGAAACCTGTGCTGAGTCTTGAACTTTACCAGGAAATTTCTAGAAAAAGACTTTACTATAGACTCAGATGGACCTTTTAAGTCACCTGGCAGGATATTTCCTAGTTGCCTAATTTGCATTTAACTTTTTTTCACACTAGACCCTGTATTCTTAAAAAGATATTCATTTTCTCTACAACCTTTGACCAAACTCATCAAAACTGGAAATAAAACAGAAAAACATATCTCAGATTTCAATGAATCGATATGAAAAAACTTATTACACAACAATGAGTTACATAATAAAAACAAAACAGTTTGATACACCCACATAAATTTGATTTTAGATGAAGATATACCATTTGTATTCAGATATTTGTCATGCTGTGTAACCTTTTGGTTCTAGACATCAGCATCCTGCATAAAACCAACATCTCTACCTAACAAAACACCAAGATTGCATCAGCCAATCACCCTCAAAGGTACAATCAGTTATTTTCTGCTGCAACTGACAATATCTCCTCATATAAATTCAAGTTTAAAACAGATTCTAAACATAATTTTAGTAGCTCTTGCACCAATTAAAATAACATTATACCATATAGTGTGAACAATGCTGTGCATAATACATACAATGATTGAGCCTGAAATTTCATTGTTTACTTTGGAAACAGTAGTCAACAAAAAAAAATTATCTCACCACAAGATCCACGCAGTAGCTGTTGTGGAACTTTCGATCACATCATATGATCATCAGAAGATCAGAGATTCCCATGATATGAACTGCCTTTTTCTCTGAGCATGCTGAAGATTTATTGTCCATGTCATTCTTGAGCTTCAAAGTTCATCCCTAATTAAGAGTCCACAGCCATGCTAGCAGCTCTGTGAAGCTGTGCTTGGGAACAGCAGTGCTTTGAGCTAAAAGCTAATCTCATCATGCTAACATGTTGATGCTTAGCTGGTATAATGTCGATTAGCTTCATCTTAGATGAGCCTGTTAGCATGCAAACATTTGCTAATTATAAGCAAAGACAAAGTACAGCAGAGACTGGTGAAGGTGTCACTAATGTTTGGATTTTTGGTTATAAATCAAAGGATTGAACAAACTGACATTTTGATCTGATGACAGCAGAGGAAATGTTAAGGGATAACCAACATTATTGCAGTTAATCATGCAGGGTGAAAATGTGTTTGTCTTAAACTCACAAATATGAACCTCATGGTGGTGCTGGAGGAAAAAGTCAGGGGATTTGGATTCATCCTCTGGGTACCACGAATGCTATGGC